CGAGCACCTTCCACTGGTCTAAAGACTTTGCTTGGGCCGCAGCCTCTTCCGGCTCTCGCCGTGGCTCTGCGGCCTGCACACAAGATCTTCTCTTGTGCTTTTTCTGCCAGCCTTTCCCAGCGTGAGCCTTGTTTCCTGTGCCTACTGGCCTATTGACACTGTCCCCTCTGCCATCGGTCCCCTGGACATAGAAGAGCAGATAGGCGGACTCACTCAGGACAGAAGCCACTTCGCACCTGGTAACTGTAGAATCATCCATCTTGTACCACTTCCCGTTGCCAGCCCTGACATAACAGAAGTAATGTCCAGAGTGGCAAGTCGCACCAGCGTGGACCAGCACGGCATACAGGGCATATACCAACGGTCCTCTGTTAGACTGAGACATGTATGGCCTCAGGTCAAGGGACTCGGGGTACCTTACTTTCCTGTCCGTTTTGCCACCCGCGGAGTCTGAGGAGCGGTTCAAGACCAGCAGCAGAACCTTCGAGGCGCCTTGGATTGCCAGGCTCTTCAAAGCTGGCGTCTTCTCCTGGCAATGGTCACAGAAGTAGGCGTTTTCCCCACACAGTTCTTCGGCCTTCACTAAATACTCCAAGGCTTGCTTCACACTGTGAGCCTCATGGATATCCAGTAGGACATCCAGGAATGGGCTAAAGGCATCTGAGGTGCCCTGGCACTGGAGACACCTGACCTGAGATCTCCACGAGCCTCCAAATATCTCGTAGATCGGGGTGCTGTCCTTCGAGGATTCTTCTGAAGGCTTTCTCCCTTGAAGGCAGGCTTCGTGCATGGCATTCAAGGTAAACATCAGAAACTCGTGGGCATCTTCCTGCTTCTGCCGGTGGAAGGCACCAGTCAAGATCTTCGAGGGCTCCATGACATCCTTGGAGTGGAGGAGACTCTGATTAACTTGAGCTTCCAGAGCACACATTGTGCAGCTTCCCGGGTGGTAACAGCAGCTCCGAGAATGCTCCCGGGAGAGCATGTAGTTGGCGAGTGAGGCGTGTGTGTCAGACACTGCAAGGCTGCATTAAGGTAGCAGCTGTTGCCTGTGTTCAGGAGACCCACACCCACGCCGAGGGGCCTCTCCCAACTCGCACTGTGCTTGCCCCTGGCAGCCAGCTCTGCTGTCCCCTGAGCATTATCCTGGTGGAGGTCTTGGGCCAAAGGAGATGACCAGGCTGAATCTGCAGAACCATAAGAACACGAAGACACTTCAGAATCTACAGCATGGCTTGAGGGCTTGCAACCTGTACCGGCCTTCCAGGGAGACTCAACTTCGGAGAGCCTCTGAGCTGCCTCCATATCTCCAGCCGCCACTTGCAAACACCTGGCTGCAGACTTCTCTGGGAGCAGGTAGATGGATGCTACTCTCTTCTGCCAATCACTCCAAAGGTGCACCTGGCCCAAGTGCTGACGCTTTTATACCTCAGTCATGTGGCCACACCCACTAAGCCCAGCAGCCACAGCCAATCCCCTACAAGCCTCCAATTGCCAAAGGGCAATTGAGGGTGTGGCTTATGCAAAGCAGCACTAAAATCTGGTCTGTTTGGCGCTCCTTAACCTTTGAGCCTTAGTCTTGGATTTCCCTTGTTTAAAAAAAAAAAAGAAAAAAAATTGTGAAACCACATCAGATAAAGATAGAAAGATAGCAGGAGTAGCCCTGCCTGCCATATAAGAGTCTCTTCTGCTGGGCATTGTTGCACACACCTTTAATCCCAGCACTTGCCAGAAAGAGGCAGGCAGATCTCTATGAGTTCCGAGGCCACCCTGTTCTCCTGATTGAGTTACAGAACGGCCTTCAAAGAAAGATAGAGAAACGCAGTC